TTTTTTTCGCAAATTTTGCAAGGTCTTTTTTGTTGTTTTTTCTCTGGATCGTCTTTAACATATTTATTAAAGGTTTTATTTTCTATGTTTTTCTTTTTTATCATATGCTCTAGGCCGCGTAATTCTCTGAATAGATCTTCATTTACCTTCAGCTTTTGTCTGTCAATTTTGTTTATTATAAATTCTGGTAATCCTACTGCCATAAGATCTATCAATGTACATGTATCTATTGTCTTATTTACTTCTAATAAAAGTTTCTCTTTTTTCAAAGCATAATCTAATAAAGAACCACTCATGTATTTATACCATATGGCATATTTAATTGAAGACCAACCTTTATCTGCATATGTTTCATAAAAGTTGTTTTTCCAAATCTCCCATTCCGATGTAATGGAGTGTTTTATTAACATAGAGCTATACCAGTCTAAGCAAGAGCTTTCTAAGAATAATCTAAGAATTTCAATTTTTTCTTCATCTTTCTGTATCTTCAACCGATTGCATTCTTTTTCAAATGTATCTAACCACTGAACTCCATTCGCATTCTTGCCCGTAAATTTTTCAATTACAAATTTTTCTGTCACCTTCTTCACGTTGGTTTCTTCCAAAAATCTTCTCAATATATCTTCTGTAGTGCTGGTAGAATCTGGTTTGTTTGTAATTTCTTCTAAATAGTATTGCCCGTATTTTATATTTTCATCCTCATCCAAATAAGTATCTCGTAATTGTTCGTTTAATGCAATCCACACTTTCCTAGATTGGTGCCTTGTTTTGAGCGTGGCTTTTATTCTTTTAAAAGTTTCCGTTGTTGTCAATTTTTCATGATGTCTCACATTCTGGTATTCTACTGGAATTTTATATCTCTCGCCACATGGTGTCTCGATTGAGGTTATGGCTAACACGTTCGTTTTTGGATCTGTTTCTGACTTTACCACAAATTCAAATCGTAGTTTCTCCATTGTAATTACGCAAAAATGTCGTTTTATAATGTATTTTTCTTGATCCGGGTAATATTTGTTCGTGGGAAATAAACTTCACTGTGTTTCACTGAAATATGAGTTTATAATTGATTGAAATCGTTACATTACAACATTAGTACTATATTACACTATTTACAGGTTTCTCACCTGAAATATGAGAAACGACATTTGAAGCTCTTTCCTACTTCCTCTTTTACTTTCCCTCTTAATAACGAACGCCACATTTATTGTCTATTACCGCACGAAATAATAATAATAATAATAATAATACCTAGAGCGGAATTATATTCTGGGCCCGTCTCTCTTCCTTATCTTCTACGCTCTCTTCCTTATCGGTGCCTTACGCGGCAAATTTGAACGGGTTATTAAAATAGTGTATTTGCTATTTTACATATATATATAAGTATAAAAGTATAAAATGTTATTATTTAATTGTTATCAATTTAATTTATAAGTCCTTTTATTTGTGAAACATGTACACAACATACACAAACAAAGCTACACTAAAACAAAATTACAATATGTAATAATCGTTATAATAAAATATAAATTAATTGCACTTGTCATGTATACCCCAAAATGTATTTTAATTTACATTTAATAATAATAAGAAAAATATTTTACTCATTGATAGAAATACATTGCGCTGCAATATGGCTACGGCATTACAGCGTAATCTTGCTAAAGGCGGACATTTTGATGCTGTTTTGTCATTGCATCAATCTTGCAACTACATTGCGCAAGCAATATGCAACATTACAATATTGCAGTGAGATGTTTTTGCAATCTTTTTGCAATCTTTCGGTGCTGTATGGAAACATTGTGGGTGGAATGCTGTATAAAAACATGCATGCAATTGGTACAAACATTTGTAATGTTCACCTTGATTTTATACAACACTCCATCCGCAACATTGCGGCAAAATATTTGAAATTTATAACGTGTAAGTTTTACAAGCAAGTTTTATTATGTGACAATGTTCTATACAATGTTTTAATAATATGTCCGCCTTTAGCAAGATTACGCTGTAATGCCGTATGTTGAAACGCAATATATTTGTATCAATGAGTAAAATTTTTCTCTTATTATTATTAAATGTAAATTAAAGTACATTTTGAGATATATATGACAACAGCAATTAATTTATATTTTATTATAACGGTTATTACATATTGTAATTTTGTTTTAATATAGCTTTGTTTGTGTATGTTGTGTACATGTTTCATAAATAAAAGGGCTTATAAATTAAATGATAAGATAATTGAATTAATTGATAATATAATTAAATAATAACGTTTTATGCAGTAATATATGTGTAATGTTTGCGTTAAACAAGCCTAACACTTTCCTAATTTTTTATCCCTGATTAATAGTATAAAAATGAAAGATATATAAAAAAAACTAATGTATTATTGGGTGTGGGAAAAAGTTGGTGGTGTTTGGCACTAGATGGCATTACACGCTCAGCACTTGATAACTACTAATCGCATCAACAACACTAGACACGGGTGACATTTCAACCTTTGTTTTGAGTCGAAAAAGGTTGAAGTGGATCAAAAGTTATTTTATTTTGAAAATGGAGATAAATAAGGAAAAAATTCGCTACATTTTAGTATCACTACGATAAAGGCAAGAACGCTTCACAGGCTTGTGAAAAAAAATTATGCTGTTTACAGTGAAGATACTCTATCAAAATCAGAAGTACGGAAATGGTTCACTCGCTTTCGTACTGGAAATTACGATGTCAAAGATGAACCTCGCTTCGGTCGACCAATCATCGAAAAGTCCGATGTAATCATAGAAAAAGTTGAGCGTGATAAGCATATGCTCAGTGTGGAGATTGCCAAGGATCTAAGCATCGACCACAAAACAGTTTTGAATCATTTACACAAAGCTGGATACAAAAAAAAGCTCGATGTTTGGGTTCCTTACGAATTGAGTGTTAAGAATATATTGGACCGAATTAACATTTGCGATACACTACTGAAACGGAATGAAATTGAGCCATTTCTGAAAAGAATGATGACTGGTGAAGAAAAATGAGTCACGTACGACAACCGAACTCGAAAAAGATCGTGGGCAAAGGAAGCAGAGACGGCACAAGAAATCGCAAAACCTGGATTGACGACGAAGAAAGTGATGTGTGTGTGGTGGGATTGGAATGGAATCGTTCACTATGAGCTGTTACCGCCCGGTCAAACAATTAATTCCGAACTCTACTGTGAACAACTGGAGAGTTTACAACAAGCAATTGAGAGGAAGCAGCAAAAATTGATCAATAGGAAGGGTGTCGTCTTCCATCATGACAACGCTCGACACACATCTTTGATGACTCGACAAAAATTCGGCGAGAGCTTGAAAGTTTTGATGCATCCACCATATAGTCCTGACATAGCAACTTCAGACTATCATTTGTTTAGGTCTCTGCAGAACTCACTTAATCGTGTAAAGCTGGTTTCAAAAGAGGCCTGTGAAAATCACTTGAAGCAATATTTCGACCACAAACCACAAAAGTTCTATCGCGATGGGATTATGGCTCTGTCCCAAAAATGGCAAAATATTATCGAAAATAATGAAGTATATTTGGTTTGAATAAATTGATTTTAATACTCTAAGAAAAACAGTTAAATTTTACTAAGAAAATGCCACGAACTTTTTCCCACACTCAATATTGAAAAAGCACTAATTACATATCCTAAAGTAAGAAAAAATTAAAAAAAAAACACCGCACACTGACAAGTCGTCGATGGAATTCGAAAACTTGCCGCTGGCCAAAAATTTTCGGCGAATGAGCTTTAGTTCGCTCAGTCACGCCGTCTCACAAAAATAGAACCGCAACTTTCGGCCTATGTACACTGCAGCTCCGCGACCCAAACTTTATACTATAATTACTCACAAACAAAGACCCACTTACACAAATCGCATTAGGATATTGATGCTCAACATCGCAGTTATCGAACGTGCAATAACTTGTGCGGAAATCAATTTAGCAGGTTGTGGCATCTCCTTTTAGATATGGCACTTCTGATGCGAGCGTTTTCCCCGTCCACGTGCACGCACACACACATACACGGAGCTATCCATCCACGATTGTCGTATGAACTGAATGTTAGACGCAGCTCCGCATAAATTGTAATGAGCAGGATAGCACATGCAAACGAGACCCGTGTACATATTCATTCCACGCTTCGACTCATAATCGTAAACTAGACTGAGTAAAATTCGAGATCTTATGATAATGGGAATGAGATGAATAGCGAAACTCGAATTTCCGTTTTTTTTTGTTTAGTGCGTAATCAGAAAGAGAAAAATATTCTGCTTTCTCCTCTCCTCTCTATTTATATAATATTTCTGTCTCTCTTATCAAAGCTTCGTAACTAAAATATTGAACATGCTCGGTCTATTCATTAATATAATCTTTAGCTCTGAAGTATCCATTGTACATGTACACGCACCGGCGTTAATGCCGTCCGAATATCCGTGTGACTCGCACACGATAACGCGTCACTCATACACTGCTGCGTGTAGGTGAGCCATGAGCAGCACAGAGTGGCGGAGGGAGCTAGCGGTATATGATCGTCGGACGCTTGGAGAGGGAATAGTGATGGGAGTCGCGGCGATCTTCCATCCTTTATCGCAAACGTAAGAACGAGAGAAATAGCATTATAAGACGTCTGGACAGAAATGCCGTCCTAAAATACGTGTGACACACATTAAGAAAACGCTTGACTCACACTGTCTCGTCTATACGTGAGCAATACGCGGTGTCCCGACGACTGTTTCGCTCGCTCGAACGTTCATGCATTTTTCATTGTTAGCAAGGAAATTACTGTAATGTAAAAATCTTGGGGAAAGGTTTTTAGGAGGCTTTGACAAATGCTTCTTAATAGCTAC